AGACTGAAGAAGTCTCTTGGAGGAGAGACGAAACGTTTCATTAGAGAAGAACCCGTCCAGAAGACCTATACAATTTTTTTCCTTTTTTGCCTAGATTACTGAGATGCATCAGGATATATGAATAATGAGTTTATTATGATTAATAATCATTTTTTGGAATAAAATCTGAAGTCTTCCTTTGGACCTCCTCCTGTAGTAATGCAGATGATGTAAACCTATTAGACATGACTTTTCATTTCCACAAATGTCCACCTGTGCAATATTACTAAAATTAAAAAACAATTTGTCCAAAACTGATGCAGAAACTACCTTTTAAAGCTGGACCAATCTGAATGGTTAAAAAGTCCTCAGTTCATCCAAAGTGTTGCTGCCAGAGTTCTGATGAGAGGAGAGATGATATTTCTCCACTTTGGTTCTCTCCATTAACTCCCCTCCAAATCCAGAATTTAAAATCTTACTTCCAACATAAGATCTCAATAAACAAACTCCATCTTTCATTTTTGCCCCCATGTTTTTCCAAATAGAGCTCTTCGCTCTCAGACTGCAGGTGTGGTTCCTAAAAGTAAAATGTGAAGCAGAGCTTTCAGTTATGCAGGCTGGAGACGAGAAGCTCAAAGAAAAAAAAACATATTTATTAAGTAAATAAAACAAAATGCCATGGCAGCCAAAAAAGTTTCTTACAGGAGGAAACCTCATGAAGACACGAGGAGGACATCATGAACAGAACAGGTTCAACATTAGACTGAGGAGCAAACAGAAAGGAAGGCATTTAAAGGGAAATCTAATTAACTTGATAGCAAACACCTGGTGAGTGGGCGGGGCCAGAGCAGCAGAGGAACAGAACCACACACAGGTAGATAAAAATAAAAGCAGCACTCCCAAAAACTTTCCATAAAAACACATTAAAAACACACATCTTACGTATTAATACTAACTCTGCTCACAGATATCCTTTAGTTATCCTGCTAATCTCTGCTGTCTTTAACCAGCTGTCCTCCTACAGAAACATGGACTAATCCTTCTGTCTCTGTCTTCTAACCCCAGCGTGTCGAGACGGAGGAACAATYGATCTGGTTCTGCTGGAGGTTCTGTTCCAGTCACCAACGTGCTGCTCAGGATAAAAGACTGCAGTAAAGTGAAGATTCCACACAATCTGATGGCTTCCTCACATAATTCACTTTATAATCATTTCATGTTTGTGAATATTTAATAATGAAATAATAATTAGGACTTATTTTTTTTTCTCATTTAGTGCCCTGAGATGACTTTTGTTGATAATTGGCACAAAATAAACTGAACTGAATTGACATTAAAACAGGTGTGTTGTCTAAATGCTATAAAATAAACCAAATGTAAAATCATTGTTGAGATTTTTCATTGTAAGGTAAACTGGTCAAAAAACATTTATTTCTAAAGATTTATTTTTTACTCACTTAAAAGCTTGAAACTTGTCAAGTTTCATTAAAACACTCGAAAGA